AGTCAGATCCAAAAAATCAATTTCACAAGCCCACAGAGAAATTTCAAGATAGCAAACACTCACAAAAACAGTAGGACACCAGAGGTTTAACTCTACCAGCACTTCTGATAAAGGGAATGGTGTAGTAATAGTCTTATTAAAAAAGAGCTCCCAAGAATGACATGTTTTCAGGAAGAATAGAAATTCTTTAAAGACAAACTAAGAAATTATTCTGCCATCTATAAAAAAGATGCAGTCCAAAGGCTAAAACTTACCAGAAGGCTACTAGTGTCGATAAAAAGCTGGTAGAAACAAAAAGCCAAGCTTCAAGAAGTACAATAACATTAAAAGTTCTAGCAGACTGAAAACATAAGAAAATGTGAAAAGGCCTTGAGATTTGAGAAGGCCTTGAGAAAATATTAAAGGAAAATGAACAAATTCTTTTTCAAACTCTTCAGGAATAGCTATCTTGAGAAATGGTAAATACAGCAAACATATGATCAAAAAGGAGGAAGAACAATATGAAAGAGACCAGACTGCAAGAAACTTGTCAAATGTTTTGGGCTTTGGTGTGTTTAGGATTTTTAAAATTTTATTTGGGGGGTTTATTGTTTGGGGTTTTTTTTTTGGGGAGTTCATTTAGAGTGATGTACTTTTGTTGTTGTTTTCTTGTTTTGTTGGGGGTTTGCTTGTTTGGGAGGGGATGTTTGTTTTTTTGTATTTTTTTTAATCCACATTCATCATGGAGAGGCTCAGATTGGCTCCTGCTTCAGACAGCTCATGTCAAATCAGAGGATCAAGGATGCTACTGGCCACTTCAGTGACACAAAACAATAACAGTTCTTTACAAGTAAACAGTAAATACCCAAGAAATCAATTAGACAATAATTGATTGCCAACCACCATGATATCTCACTTATAAAAAAGCAGGTAACAAATGAAACAATTTTTAATGAGATTTCCAGGGATTTATGTAGGTGATCTGACTTCTCCAATTGTGCTGATACCCTGTGATATAAAAATATTGTACATACAGATAACTGTTATGCTGGCAAATACAGCTCAAGTAAAGGGAGCTGCATGTGGGACTCACATACACTGTCATTCTCAGATTATGTAAGTGTTATTAACAGATATGAATTTAAAATTTATCAAGGTAAAAATTGCTGATTTGCCAGCATTTTGAGCATGTCAGTCCTCCAATACAAAAAATCCAAGTACAAAAAGGAATGGAGAAAAAAAATCATTGGCAGACCTTGCATTCCTCACCATTGTCTCAAGCTATAATCTTCAAGTTATGAAGATTTTTAACTGTAGCAGAAAGTGCCAGAGCAAGCTGCTTTTGCTAACCCTACAGAGAACCTAAATAAATAAGTTTAAATCAAAAGTCAAGTTTCATAGGAAGTACAGACCTACATCTCTCATATGACTCTAAAACATAATTATAGCAGAAGTGTCCTTTTTTCACTCAAGAAGGCAAGTAAACTGCAAACAAAGTGGGCATGAGAAAGTATGTATTAAAAAAGAGCTTTGTTCAGGCCTTTGCTAAAGATAATTTATGAGCATCCTTAGGCATCCAGCAGAGTTTCATGTATTCAAGAACTGAAACATGGTACAAACCGTGTGAAATGAATGCAGTAGGCAACTCAACAGCATGTGAGCAACAACCTCAGTCCCTACTTATGGCCTTGCAAACTGCAACTGTTAACAAAGCCACAATGAAAATACCTGAAAACATTGCACTGAAGCCCATCTTCTTTATCTTAGGTGGAAGATTCATATAAACACCACTTCCCTACAGTGATGATATGCATCACAAATTTGAACACAGAGCCATAAATTACAGCACCACTGATTGATGTAGTGCTGTCCCCAAAACCACTAATCTGCAAGACTTGGGTATTAGTAAGGACAGAAGTTAAAACAACACACTAAAGACACTGCTTGCTCTGACAGCGAGGCTGATACTATAACCTAATAAAGCACTAGCTCTAAGGAAGAACATAGACCTCGCACCAACACAAAAAACATGACAAGTCAAATCTCAAAGATAAACCAAAATTTATTTAAAACAACAAAAGCAAGACGGTGCTACTGCCAAGATAGAAAAAAATTAAGGATTCTTTTACTGAATGTGACAAGGCAGGCAATTTACAGCAGTTTACATTAATTCTGAGATCAGGTGGGGTTTTACACTGCTTCAATTGACTACACGTACTTTCTGCAAGACAAACTGGCTCCCCTTCCCCTCCCCTTTTCAAAAGAACTGACAAAAATATCCTATAAAAAACATATACAGAATTTTGAGACATGATTGAAACATGAACCACTGTCCAAAAGTCTGGAACTTTCCAAGAAGGTTAAGTCCTTTTTTGCTTCAACCAACCCTCAACGGGGGAGCTACAAGCACAACGCCATCCCCTCTGACAAAGAGCATCGGAATATTCCTCTTGGTAGACTGTGAAGAAGGAAAGAAAAGTTTACATTTACAAAACATTCATTTCAATCATAAAAACACACCTGAAACAACTCAAACAAACACTCAATGTTCTGGCAAGCTGAAGAGATCAAAACAATTAACACCAAGTCTCTAGATATCTTGTGTACTTTCATAACAGTTTGTCCAAATCCTGTTAGAGCTTGGTTCAAAAAACAGTCAGCAATAAACTACTTTAACAATATAACACAGTGTAGTTTTAAATAAAAAAAACTTGTGAGGATAAATTAACTCCTTTTTTAGTCCTTACTTTATAAATCTCTTCATAGGTTTCTTCATCAATCTCTATTGTAGTCACAGTTTCTTCCACATCACCCAAAATCATATTTAAGTGCTGATCATATGCCTGTAGAAATTAAGTTTAGTTTACTATGTTTTCCAAAATTCAAACATGAGTTTACTAAAATGAGAATTTTAGCAAGACTTTGAGACATAAATAGTTTAGTCTGATTTTTACCAAAACAGTACTATCAGTTCCAGTTACAGCTCAACACAAACATAAACAAATGAGAACTCTGCAGCAGGAAAAAGAATGCACGACATTTACATTTACTGAAACTTGCAGGAAATGGCTCTGAAGCATTCTGTGAGAGCACTTACCAGACCTCAGAGACAGACAGACTTTGTTAACATTAAACCAGCTACACACTGCTGCCAGTCCAGCCTCCTGGAATGGATTGCCTGGGGCACCTTACAGGGTATGAAAGCTGCTTCTCACACAGCGCTACAAAACCTTAAACACATGTTCCAAAATCCTTACAAAAGCATGTTGCAAACTACACGTGTCCTCATGGATCTCTCATTATCTCTGTGCTTCCAAAGGAGGTGAGGCCCAGTTAACTCATGGGGCAACTGGCTCTCTTCCCCAGCAGAGCAGAGCACTCAGGGAGGCTGCCTGACTTAATAGAAAGCAAAAAATCTGAGAACCCAGCTGAGCACCTGTCCCATCACAGCTCCCAGGGTGTGCCTTAAGGGATTCTTGTTTGACAGTGATAACCTCAGTCCAGAAGAGGCCTCAGGGTACATCATATGAAGAGGCCTGCAGCGTTATTGCTTATTTCACAGACAGAGAAACAGAAGCCAAAAGCAGTGAAATCAGTTGCTTGGTATCATTCAGGAGATAAGAAAAACAAAATATATCTCTTGATTTTCTAGGGAAGCAGTTCACAGCTAACAAAGTACTGATAAGTGAGATTTTTCCACCAATCACATTACAGTTATGGCAACTAAGACAGCTCTTAACCTACCTTCTCCAACTATTTCTGTACTTTCAACCATAAAATGCAATTACTCATGTTTTAAAACTAGTTTTTTCAACAACCACTGGAATATTACAGGTAAACTTGTTTAACAGACCGTTGTACATAAAGACTGTTGTACATAAAGCACTGCCCAGTGCTTAGCTGAATGAGCACAATAATATTGTGAAAGCTTTACTTACATGTAATCTGCCTCTAAGCTCTCTGTCATTCCTCATTTTGACATAGATTCGCTCATCTAGACTGAGTCTAATGAGATCAAGTGGCTCCTCTACAGTATTAGTTGTTTGTTGCTAAAAAAAGAGAAAAGCATTATTTGTATAGAAGAAGCCTGTGAACTTTTCCATTCCTCAATGTTTGTGAGACACAGAAAACAAAGGAGTGAAAACACAGGTGTAAATACTTGAAATCATTCCATCACATCCTGGTGAACCTGAGTGCTGCTGATTTACCGCTCCACTGACACTCACCAGCCCTGAGCAACGTGAGTCAAAATATTTCAGTTTAGTCTGCAGCTCATCATTCTTCACACATAGGGGGATTAGAATGAGATGGTCTTTAGGGTCCCTTCTAACACCAACCATTCTGTTGAACTCTTTTTCCTACCAGCAGCCAGTTTACACTGCAGGAACCAGCAGCACAGCTGTGCCATGGCACGGAGCAGCTGAACCAGCCGAACCCGTGATGACAGCGGTGCCGGCACAGGGATGCACCCGGGCACACGCTCGGGGGCTCTCGGGTACCCGGCACACCGTGCCCCGCACACTCACCGCTCCCGAGCCCTTGCTGGGCCGCACAGCAGCCAGGCCGGGCCCCGAGGCTGGCGTGAAACCTCACCACACAGCGGCCTGAGGCCCCTTGCCGTGAGAAAGGCGCACTTCGAGGATCACAACTACAAAAGGGTGAAGACCTCCTCCACATCTTCCCTATGCCATGTATATCCCGTATTTCCGTTCTAGCTACCTCCTTCCTTCAGAGACCAGCGCATTGCCCTCGGCAGCTTCCCCCTTTCCCTCCTCCGGCAGTGCCGGGGGTCAGCGGGCCCGCAGGAGCGGCACCAGCTCCGCGGCCAGCGCGGATTTCAGCTCGCACGGGAAGCGCTCCCGGGGGGCCCGGGCACACCCGGCCCAGCCGTGCAGCCCGGAGCTGCCTCCCCCGCAGCCGCCGAGAGAGCCCGGAGCCGCTCACCTGGTCCACCTCATCCGCCATCTTTCAAACCGCCTCCCGCGCCCGCCCGCGAGACTTTATGGCCCGGCCCCTTCCCGTCCCCTCCCCTCCCTTCCCCAGCGCGGGGCCGGGCCGGACCTGCCCGCGCCGGCAGCGCCATGGGCAGAAAGCGCAGGGCATCGACCCGGCCCGCGGCCGCCAAAAAGAGGCGCTCCGGGGGGCTGCCAAAGGAGGAGGAGGAGCAGCAGGAAGAGGAAGAAGAAGAAGAGGGTGAGTGCAGCAGGGAGGCCGTGGCGGGCCGGAGCTGCGCCACCGCCGCTGCTCCGGCCGCGGGGTCGGGGGGCAGCGGTGGCAGCGCAGCTCGGGAAGAACGGCAGCGCCGGGCTGGAGGACGCTGGTTATCGGCTCTGTTATCGGCTCTCTTATCGGCTGTGTTATCAGCAGGGTTACCGGCGCTGGGATCAGTGCCCCAGATCCCGCGCGTTAAACCCGTGTGTGACGCTGACAAAGGCCGAGCAGCCCCTGAAGGCTGGTTTCATCTCGGCCGCGCTCTCCCGAGCAGAGTCACGCTGTAATAAGTTGTTGTGAGTGGCAAGCACGATGCTTGGTTTTCCGCCGATTCCATCCGTAGGACTATAGGAATTTTTAGGTACTTCCTGTGAGTTACATAAGTACTTCCCTCCAAATAGTCTCGCTGTCCAAATCTTGCCTATTTGTAAACAAACAGTGACATGCTCAGCATTGTGCGTGCTCATGTTCTTCTGAAGCTGCCTCTAGTGAAGTCCGTGGAGATATTGCTTCAGATTGCCATGGAGATGAAACTCCATCCTTTAATCTTCATTTCTTTTGTCACGTGCAGATGATTTTGAAGATAAAAAGCCCAGTATAAAAAAGACCTCAAAAGCTCCAGCTAGGAAAAAGGGAGAAGATTGTGATACTGAAGTTTCCAAATCAGCAAAAACTTCCAAACCTTCAAAACGAGAACCAAAATCACAAATAAAAGAAAGTAAAAAGAATGCTAGAAATAAAGAGAATTGTATCAAAGAGGAAACGTGCAGGTAAATTTATTTATCATTCAAGTCTATAGGACCTTTTTCTTCATCTTATTTCTTTCTGTGGTTTGATTGTCAAATACTCAATCTGTTGTTACTGATGCAGAGGTCATGCTTGATTTATTTCCCTATTTTTAGTCTTTGATAAACAAGCACCTCTGTTTCCTGATGCTGTCACTGTTTTGATGATTTTAACAGTGATCCACTGAAGCATCCTCAGAAGGAGATGAAGATAAAGACAGAATCTCCTGTTAAAAAAGAGATGGATGAAGACAATACTGACAATGATGATGATGATGAAAGTGAAGATGAATGGGAGGATGTGGAAGGTAACAACTGCATATTTTTTCATGTTAAGCACTTTTTAAGAGCTTGTATATCACAATGATTCTTCAACAGCAGGTGACCAGCATCCCACAGTTTTTCAAATAACTTAGCACACACAGCAGTGTTATGGAAGATCCAAGAGCTTGTAGTTGCTGAATGTGTTCTGTTTAAAGTTGTTTGAACACTTGAGAAGGAAAACATAGGTTTTATCCAATCATCAGTCTTCTCTGGTAATCTATTCCATGTTTACTTATAATGTAGTATTTTATTTTTACAGAACTTCAGGAACCTGCTACAGATAAGTTAGAAGAAGCTGCTGTTCTTCCATCAGTGGGGCTGCCAAGCAATCCTGTTGAGATAGAGATTGAAACCCCAGAGCAGGTGAAGAAAAGAGAGAGGAGGTAAGAACAAGGAGGTGGTGGAGGGCTGCTAAAGGCTGAAGTTAAAAATACCCTAAGTCTTGGCTGTCACTGACTTGGTGTGTTCAGGGTGAAAATCTCCTCTTGGTGCAGACTGTTGAGTAGGAATGATGCAGGGTTGTGGAATGAAGAACGGTTTATACACTGACAGCTCTACCAAAAATCTTCAGTGGAAGTTGGCAAGAATGGAAGAGGCTTTTCAGCTTCCTTGAAAATCAAGTGATTCAAGTAACTTCCTTGTGTTTTATTGTCTCCATTTCCCTGAAAGGACAGCAGGAGATCTGTGCAAGGAGAGCTGTGGGTGAATGACATTGTGTTACTACACACCTTAAGAGCCTGTTCACATAGCCAGTCACTAAACCTTTCCTTAAGTGTACACAGGAGATTCTCTGGGATGGGTTCTCTCTGTGAACTGACCCTGTTCAGGAACCAAGAAAGGCAGGTCCACAGAAATCCCACAACATCCCTTTCTTTGTAATCTCCTGCAGAGAAAAAAGAAAAGCTGAGTTTGAGATGTACCTTCGGAGAATGATGAAACGTTTCAGCAAGGAAGTTCGTGAGGACACACATAAGGTATTTGTCACAGAGAACCATGGCAGAGAAGAAATGGAGCATAAAGGTGTCTGAACTAATTTGTAATCAAAAGAAACTAATTTTTATAAAATAGTTAGAATGGCTACAAGTGAAAAAATAAAGAAAGTGTAGTCCTGACAGATTAAGGTTCCTCCTAAACTGTGAATTGAAAACACCAGTGCCTGTGTTAGTAAAATTCTGACTCAAAGCATGTGAGTAGGATGTATATTTCTCCATAGAGGGATATATTCTCATTCTGTCAGGATTAAACTGCCAGTCGTGTAGAGCAGGAGACACTTGCAAATACTTCAGTGCTTTGCTGTCTTCTGAAGACAGCATTGTGAGTGCTTGGGAGGCTTTATTGTCACCTCTCTGTTAAAAGGAGCAGTGAAGTATTCCTTGTCTTTACCATGGGCAGTAGTTCCAGTAAGGAAAATCTCTCATGAACTCACTTTTAAACTCGTCTCTCTCAGGTTCATTTGCTGTGTTTATTAGCAAATGGTTTCTACAGGAACAGGATCTGCAGCCAGCCAGATCTCCTCGCCATCGGTCTGTCCATCGTCCCCACACGCTTCACCCAAGTGCCTGCAGGCCAAGTGGGCCTTGTCTACCTTTCCAACCTGGTGAAATGGTAAAACTCCCTTCTAATGATGCTGTCACATAGAATGGGCAGCAAGGGTTCAGGGAGAGGGGTAACTGTAACTAGCAATTATCTGTGGGTTTTTTAAATTTTGTGTACAAAGGTGAGAGGGGCTGTCCTTTTTAGAGAAGGAGAGGGTGAACTCAGAAGTTTAGGAATACAGTCACAAACACTGGACAATTAGCAGGTGTCTTGTATTTCAGGTTTGTTGGAACCTTCACTGTCAATGATGAGCTTTCCACTGAAAAAGGAGAGCCCCTTCAGTCAACACTGGAGAGGAGGTTTGCCATCTATGCTGCACAGGATGATGAGGAGCTCGTTCATGTAAGAGTCTGGGAAGTGCAGGGTTGGTTGGTGAGTTTGGATGCTGTGTGTCAGGTCATACACAAAGTGGTGGGAGGGGTGGATTCAAAGAAAGCAGATTGGTGACTTAAGTGATTCGGTAGCTTTTTATTCTCTTGTATTTTTGTCTCAAGACCTCCTGTGATTAAATTACTCAATTTAAACTGTTTTGCAGATATTTTTAATTATTCTGCGAGCATTACAGCTACTGTGTCGCCTCGTGCTGTCTTTTCAGCCTATTCCTCTCAAGGAGACAAGACCAAAGGTAGTTTTTGTTTGTGTGGAATAAGGAATTTATTAAATCCTACTGATTTAGTAGGATTAAAAAAACTTCCTGGCTATTATAGCTTGCAGTGAATCACTTACTGCACGAATCAGGGTTCTGTCTACATTGCAGAAAATGCACGCCCTTTAATTTTTAATTTTCTTCTTTAAAAAGCCAGTAATTTCTGTGTTTCAGCAAAGATTTCTTAACGTTTCAATGGACTTACATTTCTTTAAAACTTAGATGGCAGCTCTTGCCACATGAGTACACCTCTCTTCAGCCGGTTGCCTGAAGTTTTCAAGTGAATTGACTGTGCCTGCCAACCTTTGGTCTGCATGAACCTTGGGCTGATTTTTTTTTTTTTTTTTTTTTTTTTTTTTTTTTTTTGTTTAACAATAGTCTTAGCTGTGGTGATAAAAATGACCTGGCCTGTTTCTCTGCAGGGAAAGAGCTCATCCAAGAGGCTGTCTCACAGCAGCACCTCTGAGGCACAGGAGAGTTCTGCCACGACACCCAAAGCTGTGGCAGAAACATGTCCCTGCAAAAAAGCCAAGCAGGATGAAAAATCCTCAGAGAGCAAAGAAAACAACAAGGAGCCAAAGAAACCCAAAACTGCCCAGACCAAAAGGACACACAAGTCAAAGCTGACTGAAGGTAGCCAGGAACAGAAGGAATCAAATAATGAGACCAGTTCAGCAGAAAAAGATGTGCCAGTCAGGCCCAAGAACGACCGCCGGAGACGAGTGGCCTCCAAAGTCTGTTACAAGGAAGAGAGTGGAAGTGATGAGGGCAGTGCTTCAGACTTTGAGCTTTCAGAGGAGGAGAGTGATTTCTCTGATGAGGATTTTGAAAGTGTCCCTAAGAGGCGGAGAAGCTCACAGGCCTCCCAGAATTCAAAGCTGACAACTATGAAAAGGTCAAAAGCTGAGACTTCAGAAACAAGGCAGTCAAAAAATGTGTGTGAAGCTGAGACTAAGCCAGCAAAAAGTGCAACTCCAGGCTTACATCAAGCACAGAGGAAGAGAAACAAAATAATTTCTAGTGATGAGGATGAAGGACACCAGGAGATGAGGAAAGCTGTGGGCACAGACCAGTGGCTGGAAGTTTTCCTTGAGCCTGAGGACAAGTGGGTTTGTGTAGACTGTATTCATGGCAATGTGGGCCAGCCCCAGCTGTGCTTTGCACATGCCACAAAGCCGCTTTTCTACGTTGTGGGATTTGACAACGATGGGAGTGTCAGGGATGTGACACAAAGGTATGATCCGGTGTGGATGACCTCAACAAGGAAGAGCCGTGTGGACCCCGAGTGGTGGGAAGAGACACTGCAGCCCTATGAAAGTCCCCATGTGGAGAGGAACAAGAAGGAGGAAAATGAGGTAAATCACAGTAGGTTGTTCAGGACATGCAGTGCCAGGAGTCCAGTCCTTGGATTCCCATTCAGGCAAAAAGCATTAGAAGTCTCTTTCCATGAAGAAGAAGGTTTGTATTTGAACTTGAAATGTTGAGATTGAACATAAAGAGAATATGCAGTGGTCACTTGAAATAATAGGAGATGATGGAGGCTGTTCAGACAAGTTTGCATAGCAGAAGTACTGCACAGTTTGTGCTGGAAACTTAGTAGTGAGGTTTGTGTAGTGTTTAGCATTACTCTTCTCAGAGTTTTTAAAGTACATAGGTCAGGGTACACATCTAAGTACTTATTTGCAGCAAGAGTGTTTTGGTCTGTTGGCTCATCTGCTAAGTTTCTGGTGATTTTTTCCTTTAGTTTATATTATAGTCATTCTTATTTTCTTACAAAGGGTGGTGAAAAAGTTGTGAAATTACTCTTTTCTGTATAATTCTTACAGTTTCAAGTGAAGCTTCAAGATCAACCTCTACCAACAGCAATTGGAGAGTACAAAAACCACCCTCTCTATGCACTGAAGAGGCACCTCTTGAAATACCAGGCCATCTATCCCGAGACAGCTGCTATCTTGGGGTACTGCAGGGGAGAGGCTGTCTACTCCAGGTGAGTTGTGCACCTATTATCACCTGCATCTGTGATCTTTGTAACAAACTGGAGAGCTAATTTGCATGATGGTATCAGCAGTAGTCTCAGGCCACATGCATAAACAGGTGAGGCATTTAGCTGCTCTGACAGCATTTGTGTATCACTAAGATACAGCTTTTTTATTAGTCCTAATACAAGTTTATTGTGGATCTGTTAGGGATGATTTGAAAACTCTTATATTTTCTTCTTTCTGCCCTTTTCAGAGACTGCATACACACTCTGCACTCCAGGGACACTTGGCTGAAGCAAGCTCGAGTGGTGAGGATTGGAGAAGTGCCTTACAAGGTAAGAGTGCTCAACTTCCTCCTGTGCAATCCATCTGCCCTCTAAAGCTCAAGCTCAGTTCTGTTTTGGTTTTTGTCTTCTGTCTTGTCAGCAGATGCAGATTTCACACGTACTTGCATGGTTTGTGGTAGCTGTACTGTCTGCCTGCTGTGCCTATAGTTCCTGCATCCTGCCCAAAACCCAGCTTTGTTTTTTTTCCCACCCCAAGGGTATCTGGCAGAACTGCTCCCTTTTCACCTTCTCCAGAGGCATCCCAGTGTTTCGTTTGCACTGCTGGATCTCTGCCTGTTGCATACAGGTGCCATGGCTTGTCATTTACACGCAATGGATATTGAAGCTAGGAAATAGCATTTCTGCTCTCCCAGAACCTTCTCCTTCGGTGTCCTAGGAAAACCTGAAACCACTGAAATCAGCTTCTTGTGATGTTACAGGCCTGGTTGTTGTATTTGCAGATGGTAAGAGGATTTTCCAACCGGGCAAGGAAGGCGCGCCTGGCAGAGCCGGCAAACCGGGACCTGGAGGACCTGGCACTGTTTGGCCGCTGGCAGACAGAGGAGTATCAGCCTCCCATAGCAGTGGATGGAAAGGTAGCTAGGAAAGCAGAGGGCTGGTGCTAAAGGAAGTGGTTTATGTGGAGCTCTGGGTTTTGTTTTTCCTGAAGTTGTATGTTTCAGACGTGAGATCAGTCTGTAATACCTGGATTCAGGATTAAGAGTTCAGAGGTAATTGTTCACAGGAGGAAATAGTCAAAACTTTAGTGAGGCCTTTCTTTCACAAGTACTCACTCAAATGGCAGTGAGTGCAGACTGCTAAAGTCAACATTTTATTGATCTGACCTTCCTAGCCTATGTTTTGCCTTGCTAATTCTCTGCATTACAGTCTGAATAACAAAGCTTGGGCAGAGGACATAGCTAGGAGACAACCATGCATCTAAAATCTAGGCTTGTACCTTGCCATGTGAATATTAATTGAATACTGGACTGGAATATAGCAGGTCAGGAGGGGAGAGTCCCTGAGTTTCAGCAGGTATTTTCACCTCTCTCCAGAAAGCAGGCTTATCACCATTTCTCTTTAATCTTACCATAACAGGTTCCTCGGAATGAGTATGGAAATGTGTATCTCTTCTTACCATCCATGTTACCTGTGGGCTGTGTGCAGCTGAAACTGCCAAACCTGAACAGAGTGGCACGGAAGTTGAACATTGACTGTGCTCAAGCCATCACTGGATTTGATTTTCACGGCGGCTACTCACACCCAGTGTATGTAAAAGCTGCTTTGTTGCACCTGTCAGATGTTGACGTCCCGCAGAATTTGCATATCTTGTGTTAAGGGGAGCATGTGACCAGTTGTACACTTTGATCCTTTGAGACAGACAAGCTTTTGGGCTGGGTCAGCAGGCATTTGCTCCCTTTCTTTTGCCTTCTTGTAGCTGACAGAGGATTGTCTTCTCCTTCCTAGTACTGATGGGTATGTAGTGTGTGAGGAGTATAAAGAGGTCCTTGTTGCTGCCTGGGAGAATGAACAAGCAGAAATAGAAAAGAAGGAGAAGGAGGTGAGAACTACTTTTGCAGCTTCCTTATTGTTATATTTACAAAGTAAATTTCATTGAAACTGGGCAGTCAAACAGGGCGGGCTGTGTAAGTAACAAGCACGAAGCTTTTTTGATGACAGTTTAAAAATCTTAAAACTTTCCTTCCCCATGTGCATAAATCCATTGAAACTCACAGTAGTAATTTTTTCTCTTTCTCATAACAATGCCCCACAGAAGCGTGAGAAAAGAGCTCTAGGGAATTGGAAGCTGCTGACAAAAGGACTTCTCATCAGAGAGAGACTGAAGCAACGCTACTCCATCAAGGTATCCTGCATTTCTGTTAGTCATTTCTTTTTTTAGAGGTTATTTTAACTGTAGAATAAAATTGCCTGACTGCAGTTTCTCAAAAGTCTTCAGCTAGTTAAAAAAGCTAGGCCAGAAGTTCAATGTGGTTGTGTTCATCAAAGATTTGTTACTGTTTAACAAGGAATGAATGCTTTTAATTTTATTACTATTTTCTGTTTTGTCATACCCCTTCCTAGATTTATTCCTCTAAGCCAAGCGTGCAGCTAACAGATGGGAGAGTAGGGGGACCTTTTCTTTTTAGATGTTTTAGTTCTTAATTTTTTCTGCAAGGAGAAAGATGAAAAGCCTGATCTTTTTTAAACAGGCTGGATTTATTCTTCTGTTGTCAAAAATGCTTATGTTGCAAGAATGTTTGGTGTTGAGAAATAGAAGCAATTTGGGTGGGAAGCCAAACCAGAGCAACCAACTTCTGTAAGGCCACTCATTGTCAACCATTGTGACCAAAGACAAGCCCTTTTAGAAAGGGGCAGTTACAAGTGATTCTTAGACTGACTTTCTGATTTTCACACCTGTTTTTTCCAGGCTGAGCCATCAGCACCTGAGACAGAGAAAGGAGGGGGATTCTCTTCTGATGAAGAAGGAGCTCCAAGCTCAGAGAGCACAGTGGGGAACACAGCCATGTATTGGCCCCAGAATCGCCAGCTAGAGAAACAAGAAGACATAACAACCAAAAAGAGCAAGCGAGAAAAGAGAGGGGAAGCAGCTCAGCTGTTCCCTTTTGAGAAATTGTGATTACAAGCTTTTTACACACTTTGGTGTTCTCAGATGCAGGAAACATAGTCATGATAGAAGTATCCTTTACCAGTTAGGGCCTTAGGCTCTTCCTCTGCACTTGTGTTTCTGAGCAGGCAGGGACCAACCTAACTCAGTATCCAGTTTCCTTTGAGATCACAGGTATCACTTAGCTATCAGACTCTTCCTTTTGTCCTTGGACTCGGGAGAAGAGCTGCACCTTCCAAGATCACTTTGCATTGTTGGGGTTTTTGCTCTTTTGTACCACTCAGCACTAATAGTTCAGTTTCCTGAGGCACTCCTGTCATCAACAGTCTCTTTTCCCATTTTTCTCATTTTCATTTTTCCCTGCTTGCTCAGAACTAAAGCATCCAGCTGCTTTTTATCTGTCTGCAGAGAAGTGGCCAAAGGAATGCTGATGCCTGCTTTGATCCATAGCTTACCCAAATCAGTGGTGAGGTAGAGTTCTGGCCTTTCTGTCTCAAGGGGGAAGTACTTCCTTTAAGGTCTAAAAAAAGCCCCCAAAATCAGAGTATGGAAGAATTAGTATTTTTTAAAGAATACTTACATTTTGTGATGTAAGTTTGGCTTTTGAGCCTGCCATCTTTATTTACTCTCAGAAATCTTGTGCTGTGGAAGGGAGAAGCCCTGTCCTTATTACCAACTTAGGGTTCAGTATGTCTTCTTAAGCAATTTGAATATGTACATATTTGCTTCTGCTGCTTATCAAGATCCTCTTCTGGATCAAAACACGTAAAACTGGCAAAATCTCACTGATGGAACAAAATTCACTAGATCCACAGAATTCTTATTATCCAGTACCATAGCATTAAAAATCTTTTGAGAGAGGAATATTAAATCTACATAAGCTTTTGTTGCACTTTTGTAGTAGAAATACTGATCTGTCTTTGGCAGTATGTATCTAAAGTCCACTGACACAGTCTCTTCAAAAATGGAGGGGAAAACAATTTAGTCATTGCTGGACATTATCACAGAGTAGGAGATGTAAGAAAATGACTTTCATGTAACTATGTTCAGAAGAAAATCTATTTTTGTACTGTATTTGTAGATCAAAATAAAGTTTGAAAAAAAGAGTATGTTGTCTGTTTTTAGAATGCACAAGTAATCTCCAGTCTCCTTAAAATACAAGGGGCTGTAGCATTCAGGTTGAACCATCATATTTTTCAAATGATCTCAGAGAGGCAAGGAAGTGACTGACTTCTTTGGTCAGCTATGGAGAGTAAACCCATGGCAGGCTGGCAACAGTACACAGACCAGAGAGCAGCTTCCCAAAACAGAAATATTTGCAGGACAAACAAAACCCAAAAATAGGAAACTAGTTCTTGTGGGAGCTACAAACCACCTGGACATTACATTATTCCTGGATATAAAACATGCAATACTTGGATTTAATAAAAAAGCCTACAGACCAACCTTTTGAAAATGGTATTTTATTAAATATACAAAAGCTCAGCACTTCTGTAGAAAATTGTCACTTCATTTCCAATAAGTAATGCTGGTTAGTGTTCTGCACGATGGGCAAAACAGTGGAGCCCAATTCCTGGCTGCTGGAGCATGAGCAGGTGTTGCTGAGCAGCAGGAAGGCTGTGCAGCACCACTGCCACATACCAGTGCATGCACAAGGCCAGCTCCTGTACCTGCCCTTTCACTCCCTGCTCCTGCTGTCACCAGGACAGAGCTGAGAGACCAAACTGACTATTCAAATACCAAAAAAATGAAAGTAATTAGGACTAATAAAGTCATTACAAATTCTCAAAATATTTATGATTTCTAACTCAGATTTCTATTTTAGTATCATTTCTAGCAAATGTTTGCTTCTATGAATGTTCAAGTCAAGCTCCTTTGGTACAGAGAACACTCCTCTGATGGTCATAAACAGGTTTCATAACAGAAAACATTATTTTTGTACTGACCTGTGTATACTTAGAAAAACCCCAAAGCAGTAGTGTAGGGGGCCCCATGTGGAAGCCAGACTCTAGCTTGGTGGAGAGACTTAAGGGTGTCTCTAACCTCAAGTACTGGTTACAGCAGATAAACATGAGCCATCACAACACTACAAGGCATTCCTCTAACAAGATACAAAACTACCAATTTAGGCTACTAAAATCTATGAAAACTAATCAGGCAAAAATGTTTCCATTACTTAATTTCACAGAGTATGTTCATTGTCCTTACTAAGTGAAATTAAAGAAAGGAACGGTATACACAGCAAAAAAACCTCAACTATTTTAGACTACACTTTCAGTTGCAAAAGTCAATGGTGTTTTTTATTTACAGGTGAATGACCTGTGAGAATCCCTTTAAGTGCAATTTGAAGTGAAATTTTTGAAACCGTTCTGATATAGTCCAGGCTATCATTTTGGATGCTTAACCAAGAACAAGTTCAGACACTTTTAAAACCTGAGGGAAATAAATGTGTCCTGATAAATCTGCCCAACCTCAGAGCACTGCTAACCAGGCCACTCATTGCATCAATGACTTTGAAAATCCTCAATCCAAAAGCAGAAGTTTTACATGAGTATTCTGTGCAATTCACCTAAGCTATGTTTTCCCTTTGAACACATGCACTGCCCAACACATCAGCCAAAGGAGTGTTCCTGACTGTGCAAACAAGAAAAGGCAGCAGAGGGAGGGTTTTTCAGAGGCAGGCAGGCACACGCATTTCCTAAGGACATCTAACCGGGGTCCACGGGATGCAGCTTTCTCCAAAACACACAAGGTGCCCCACCCAGGAAGGCTTGCCAGTTCTCAAATCAGGGGGAATTACTAAGCAGTAAGAGATACAAATCTGCTTGTTCACACACACCTAGAATGCTTTTTTTCCCCAAAGCTGGTGTCAGTGATTTCCCACAAACAGCATCCTATAGTCCTGTGGATAAAGTGTACCGATAATCACATTCAAGCCCCCTCCCCAGCTTTCAGTGCTCGCTGCTGAGCTGTGATTTGCTGTAAGCTTGCTGCAGGAACTGGGCAGAAATGCACTTTGGAAGGACTCAGCCCAAGACCCGACCACCTCCTCGTCACTGCTGCTTCTTGGGCAGAACACGAGATCTGGCCAGCAGGATGGGGACAGCGGAGAGCAGCACGAGCAGCAGGGCCCAGAGCGGGCGGTAGAAGAGCCAGCCCACGGCGATGGTCAGCAGGGACAGCGAGCTGGCCACGCACACGGCAAACGCCTTCAGGCCAACGTTAACCAGGTCCCTCACAACAGGAAACCAGTCCACTGCAGAGAGAATTAAACATGGCATGAAGCAGTTGGCAAGATGACAGTTTAAAAAGAAGTCTGACTCATGCCTAGGACCTGCACCCTAACAGCTGCAATCACAAGACAGACTCAAACTATTTATCAAGAGCACTGGATTAGGCATTTCAGCAGAGCATCATCAAGACATTTCATCATTAAGCAACAGCTAAACATATAAGGCAATGCTATCCTCATCTCTTCACACAGGAAGTAATCCAAAATGAAGTCTGAAGATTTGTCCAAGGCTTGAGAGGCAGAGGAGACAGACAACCCTGCAGCTGTGGAACAAGTCTAGGGCAACTGATAGGAGCTGCTAGCACAATTCTTTTCTGGCAACAATGAATCTTGGAGCAGCATGTATATGGATAAATAAACTAAAAAGAAAAAAGTTCACAGCTGCAAAGTGAATGTATCTTTGATGTCTGAAGTTTATGCAAGTCTGAGGCACTGTCCTACTTTCTTGGTTTTACTCCAGCATTTTCTATATTAAAAGAATAAACAAAAACTTTTTTTGCTGTTTGTTTACAATAGTGTGGACTAACCAGACACAAAAACGTATTTCAATACAGCTGCTGATTAAGACCTGTTGGGGGAAACAGTTTTGTGTGGGTGCAGAAAGTATTTGTATTGCAGCACCTTGAATTAGATTTGGAAGAACCAGCCCAACATATGCCTCAGCTTTTTATTTTGTGAAGCTCTGGGCTGGGATCTTCTGAGACTGGTAAAATATATTTGAGTGGGGTTTTTTTAATGTTCACAAAGCAACTACTTAGTTTTGGGGTCCTGTTTACATGAAGTTGCCTACAGTAACTTTTCAGAGCAAATAAAATCAGAGTTCAAATCAGATTTCTCCTCATCTCCAAATGAATTAACTCTCTAGAGGTTACAATCTTGTTCCTAGATCATTTTAACCTTTCTGTGAAAAACTTACCTAATGTGTAAAAGATCCTGGTCATCAGGCTGATGCCCACAAACATTGAGAGCCAGCCAGCTGCACGGAGGGCCCAGGTCTTCATGGTGTTACTCTCCTGCTCCTTCTGAAACACCTCCTGAAAGCAAACACCATCACATGCAGCCTACTTCTTGTTCTTTTTCAAGATCCTCTTAATTCCAATAAATTATAAGCCAGTCAGAGCCAAGATAATTTTAGAAGCACAATTTCTCTTGCAGAAAATAAATTGCAGCTCATTCTGTTGGGTCTGTGCAGTATGGCAGTACACTGCAATAGACTGAACAGTGCAGCATGGGGGAAACTGGCACTTTTCATAATTAAAACAACCTAAAAAGCACCATTCAACACTACCCACATGCAGAAAGCAAAAAGGTTTTGCTGAAATTGGACACATTCAACATTAATGTGGAAAATAAGACACTAATAAGTAACTGTCATAAAGAGGAAGAGTCTGACTTCACTCTGAAGGAAGAGAGAGTAGGCAATATCCAACTGATGGCTGAGGGAAAGGTGTGAAAGAGAGCAAGCTGGATGCAGGGGAGAAAAGCTAAAAGGTATGTGTGTGCATTTCATCAGGCAAAGGAAAGCATGTCTTTGCAAAAATTCTGATTAAGAGTTTTTTCAAAATTGGTTGTGTGACCCTCTGGCTCAACAAAACGTTCACATGAAGATGGCTGGGACATTGGAAAGCACTAATGGTAAGAGATGTGGAAGACTGATTGATTATTTGCACATACAAGTACTCAAAGCATTATTTATTTGTAACCAGTTCACTTTCAATGAAACAAAATTCTGTCTAATGAAGATTCAGAGCTTACAGCAGATAGTTGATTCTACTGCTACTCTTTCAAGTCAGAACAAAGCCTTTCTAACTGCTTTTGGGGAGCACCTGTAAACTCTTGACATCTGCTTTTCTTTGCAGCAGGGCATGAAACAATCATTAACGGAAACAAACCTACTAAAATAAGTAAATGAATCACCAAATTGCTGGAGCATGCAGGATTTACTGAAGCATAATGCTCTGCCTGAAGGTTCTTTCTCAGCCAGAATAGTAATAAACATTTCAAACAAGCCTAAACTCCTGTTATTAGGAGCTGAAGAGAGAATAACTCTAATGGTTTATTTAATTAAACCCTGATTTTTACTATTTTTACATGTGACCTGTTCAAAAACATGTGCTTGCATGTGTAAGTGGGAAACAACCAAGGAGCAAATAAAAACAAATTGAGAGGGCACAGAAACAATCTTTAAAGAAAACAGAATGTGCAGAAACCTGGAAGCAAACACAGGCTACAATGTGTTGTCCAAGAAAGAGAGAGAAAAGCCAATGTTTATATGAGTATCTCCTCCCCTGGAGCAGGTCTGAAGGAGAATAAGAGCCTCATCTTCTGCTGCTTCTGCACTACCACCTCAAGTTTTAACCCCTCACTAGAAGAGTGTGGTATCTCACCTCCACAGAGAGGTCCCCAGGGTACAGAATCTCCAGAACATCTCCAGACTTGGTATGATATGGAACCAGCTGATCACCTCGCTGCCGAGCAATCACAGTCACCTGGGAAGAGAGGGAAAAATATTTACTGCTTACTGAGTTGGGAAGAGAGCTTGCAAAATACAGAAACAGCTGAAGACTCACCCTATCAGCAGAGCCCAAATGGGGATCATCTCCACTCAGACCTGCATAGAAGAAAGAGACACGAAGATCTCCCACCTACAAACAAGAGAAGACTGGAAGTCAAGAAAGATTGCTTTACAAAGGGGAATCATAGGAAAGACAACTCAGAACAGGAATATCCTTTATTTATCCACACTTTTTCTGAACATTTATGTCAAGCAAGAGATAGCCAGAATGATTTCCAAGCTGTCCTTTTTCCAGGGCT